GCTCGGGCGCCAGCGACGCCGCGTCCACCGCCAGCCTGGGCGAGGGCGCCGAGGGCGCGGAGGGCGCCGACGAGGCCGCGCCGTTCGAGGCCGACATCGACGCCACCACCACCGAGACCTACATGGGCGAGTGGAAGAACGACAAGCGCTCGGGCTTCGGCGTGAGCGAGCGCTCCAGCGGCCTCCGCTACGAGGGCGAGTGGCTGGACAACCTGCGCCACGGCTACGGCTGCACCACGCTGCCCGACGGCCACCGCGAGGAGGGCAAGTACCGCCACAACGTGCTGGTCAAGGGCACCAAGCGCCGCGTGCTGCCGCTAAAGAGCAACAAGGTCCGCCAGAAGGTGGAGCACAGCGTGGAGGGCGCCCAGCGCGCCGCCGCCATCGCGCGCCAGAAGGCCGAGATCGCCGCCTCCAGGTAGGCCCCGGGCTGGGCGCAGGCGGGGTGGGCCTTGCTGGGGTACGGGTTCCGGGCAGGGCGACCCGGGAGGCCCAGGCTCTGAGCCTGTTCTGCTTCTTTCACCATCAGGGGTACCCCCTGACCTTTAGAGAGTTAACTGGAGGCACTTTTGGTCCCTGTCCATCCATCCATCTGTCCATCCATCCACCTGTCCACCCATCCATCCACTCAACTACTCCTGTCCACCCATTCACCCAACCCTCCATTCACTTAACCCTTCCATTCATCCAGGCTTTCTTTTTCTTTTTCTTTTTTTAAGATTTTATTTATTCATTTGAGACACAGAGATACAGAGAGAGAGAGAGAAAGTATGAGCAGGGAGAGAGGCAGAAGGAGAGGGAGAAGCAGGCTCCCCACTGAGCCAGGAGCCCGACGCAGGGCTCGATCCCAGGACCCTGGGATCATGACCTGAGCCGAAGGCAGACGCTTAACCATCTGAGCCACCCAGGTGCCCCATCCAGGCTTTCTAATAGCCACCTGAACAACCATCTCTTCACCCCACCTACCCACTCCACTTTCTGTTTACCCATTCATCCTCCAGACACCGGTCCAGCCACCCAGTCATCCATTCCTTCACCCAGCCCCTTGTTCACCTAACTTCTCCACTAACCTCCTGAATAACCCCTCCATGAGGACAACAACCTCGTCACTCAGCCTCTTTGACATCTACCTGGACAACCACCCATGCATCCAGCCACAACCTCATCCACCCCCATCCACCCATCCAACTTTCCACCCTTCTACCCACCCAACCCTCCAGTTACCCACCTATCCACCCAACCACTTAGACACCCATCCAGACAGCCATTCAACTACCCACCCATCCCCTTATTCACTAACCACCCACATTCACTCAACTACTTCTTCCATCTACCAAGTCTTAACATCCATCCATGCATTCATTCACCTAACCACTTCCATTCACCCAGTCTCCTCCATTTACCCAGTCACTCCCATCTCCCATCACCCATGCTTCCATCAACTGAAACAACACGCTTCCACCCACCTACCCACTCATGCAAGCACCCATCTATCATCCAGCCAGCCAGCCACCTCTAGAGCCCAACCATAACTTCCATTCAACAATCCCTCTTCTCTTCCACTCACTCAGCTACTGTCACCCATCCACCTACTAGCCCTGTGTCCATCCACCTTCCTATCCATTCAGCACCCACCCTTTTGTCCATATTCAGACCCCTCCATGTCTTATCATTGTACTTCAGAAAAAGTCTTAATGTTGTCTGCAAACGTTTATAGTTCTCGCTGTGTACATGGCACTGTTTTAGTAGTTTACAAATATTGACTCATTTAATCTCCTTATAAGATCCGTTCTGGTTTTATTTCCATTTTACACACGGGTTAAATGAGGCTTAGAGATATAAAGTGACTTGTCCCAAATCACCCAGGTAGTGAATGGCCCTTCATAATCTGGTTCCTACACTCCTATTCTGCCTCATTTTCTACCATTCTTGCCCTGGACCTGAATTTTATTCTCTGAACTAGTCATGCTGACCTTTTATCATCCTTTAGTTCCTTCTGCCGGAGAGCTTTTGTTCCTACTGGTTCTTCGCCTAGACTGCTCTCCCTCCCCCTTGCTGCCCATTTAATTCCTACTCCTCTTTCAGAGCTCAGGTAAAGCCTGACTCCCTTAGGGAACTGATGGAGCCCAGCCCCCTGTTACAGGCTGACCTCACTGGATTGCATGGACATTTTCTTACAATGTCTCACATTTCAACCTTAATGCTGCTTATGTGATTTGTTTTCAACCTGCTATTTATAAAGGGTTTTTTATGCCCCACTGTTCTGAGGCCTTTACATAAATTTACTCACTTAATCTTTACAACATCTCAACAAAGGTAGGTACTGTTATTATTCCCATCTTGCGAATGTGGAGTGAGCTGCAGGGAGGGCAGCGGGTATGGTGGGACAGGGGTGAAAAGCACTCGTCTGTTCTGGTGCCCGTAGCAATCCTGCTGGGGGCTCTAAATGGCCTGGGCTGGAGGCTGTGGCACTGTGGTCTTCAGGGTAAAGCAGACATAGGACCAAATCTTGGTTCTATCATCTGTTTGCTCAGAGACCTGGGAAGATCAGTTTGCCTGTCCAACCTTTAGTTTGCCCACCTGGGGCACCTCCATTCCTTAGTTATATGTTCTTGGCCAAATCAGTTTTCGTCTTCAATATCAGTTGTGTCATCTATAAAAATAGGGTTAGTCTGAGGGTGAAGAAAGGTAGTACAGGTCCCGGGGTTTACAGTCCTGTCATGAGGTGAGTTTATGGGGAACACTCAGGAGCAACATTTGTGGGAAAGGGAAGGAAGCTGGGTTGGGCAGAGGGAGATGCTGGGCTGCAGTCTCCACAAGGGCCTCAGCCAACCACAAGAGGTATGCTGCGGTGGAGATGACCTTCACAGTCGTCCCTAGTTGAGGAGAGGGCACTGAATCTTTATATCGTCTGCTCTGGCTGCAGCTACCCTCCAGAAAGGAGTGTGACCTGGGGCTGGATGGTTTTCTTCAGCCACGGGCCACCCCTGGGCCAGGCTGATAGGTGGTGCCCCTCTGACCAGCTGGGGGAGGAGGAGAGGAGAAATAAGTCTTTGGGTCCTGAAGAGGAAACTGGGGGGCACATCACAGTACCCGCTACAGTGCTGGACACCTAGCAAAGGCTCAATAAGCATTACTAGTCATTGTCGTCATTCAGTGAATTCATTATACAGATGTGGAAACTGAGGCCCAGAGAAAGAACGTAATATCCCCCGAGACCACCTGGCAAGCAAGTGGGAGAACCAAGGCTCCAGCTCCTAAATTTCTGATTCTGAAGCTTTAACCAGCACATCTTGCTATCTCTGAACTTTGTAAACCTTAAAATGGTGTGAATGTGTGAGCAGTTAGTATCATTAAGATGGCCCAGTTTCCCCTAGCGTTAAGTTCTTACGTTACCATAATACACTGGTCTCAGCCAACACTGGTACATTACTGTTAACTCCAGACTTCGACTGAATTGTACTAGTTTTCCCACCCCTGTCCACTTCCTGTTTCAGATTCCATCCGGTATCCCACATTGCATATGCACTGGTCATGTCTCCTTAGTCTTCTCTGGTCTGGGACAGTTTTTCAGCCTTCCCTTGTCTTTCATGACCTTGACAGTTTTGAGAACTGGCCAGGCATTTTGTAGAATGTCCCTCAGTTTGTCTGATGTTTGTCTCATTGTTACACTGAGGTTATAGGTTTGGGGGAAGAAGACCACAGAAGGTAAGATGCCATATCATATCATATCATATATCATATATCATATTAGGGCACGTGGTCTTAACATGACTCATCACGGATGACGTTAACCTTGAACACCTGGTATCTGCCAGGTTTCTCTGCTATAAAGTTACCATTTCCCCTTTCCCATACTCTGTTTGGAATCCAGACGCTAAGTTCAGTCCACACTTAAGAGGGAGAAAGGTCTGGAATTAAGCTCCAGAGGGAGGAGTATCAACATACATTAGCTGGAATTCTTCTGGAAGGAAGATTTGTCCCTTCTTCCAAAGGGAACATTTTTCACTAGTAGGCCAAGTGTCTATCATTGTGACAGGCATAAGCCCGGACTGTCCTGGGCCACCCTGGGACATGGCAGAGCTTACAACAGGTAAGAGCTTAGCCTCTTGATTCAGAAGATCATGAGTTAGAGTTCTTGCTCCTCTGTGTGACCAAGGGGCTTCACCACTCTGAACCCTGGATCTTCTTTCCTCCTAGGGTTGTTTTGAGGAGTAGATGAATTAATGCCTAGGAAATGCCTGGTGCAGCAAAAGCGGTCATTGTCATCATCTAACCTGTTCAATTTTAAGGTGAGGAAATAGAAGCTTGGGAAGAAGGAGGGATTTATTTCCCCAGGCTCTCACCTGGTGGGGGCAGAATCTTGCCCCTCTCCGCCCCCTTGCTTTCCCTGACCTCCTTGTCCTTGCCACCAAGGCCTGTGCCCTTGAACACGACGATGTTGAGCTCCGTTTGAGAAGGCTACCAGGCCCATAGCTGGGACCTGAATCTCTGGAGTGAGAAGGTGTTGTCCAGCTTCCTCCACAAGATCTGCCAGGAGGGGAGCGCAGGGGAGATTTGGATTCCTCGTGTGCCTAAGGAACACGTCCTGTATGCCTGCAGGGCTCTTAGCATGTGAGGGGCAGCTCCCTGGCTCGGTTTTAAGCTCAGACTGATTTTCCAATTAAGGGAATCTTTGGGTTAGGAGGAAAAGCAGGATTGTCTCCCTTGCAGGAGTTTTGGTGAGTAATCGAGCTGCAGAGGAACAGGGAGCCTTCCTAGCAGCCACCAGCCTCCTTGGCTCAGGCAGACCTGGGGTTTCTCTTCATTGTGGCCTTAATCTCCTGGTCCTGGGCTTTCATGGAACTTGTCAGCTCAGAGTCTAGGATCAGGAGAGCTTTCCCAGGGGGAAGAGAGAAAGCCGAGGCATCATATCCCCCTAAAATGGGCTGTGGCCTAAAAAAGATTCTAGACCTGCAATGTCCAATATGGTAGCCGTTCAGTGGCTGCCGAGCTCTTGAAATGGGGCTGATCTGAACTGAGATGTGCTGTTAAGTGTGAAACACACACTGGATTTCCGAGACTTAGCAAGAAAAAAGTGTAAAGGAACCTGTGAATTTTACATTGATTTTTTTATATTGATTACATGTTGAAATGATTATGTTTCAGATGTGTTGAGCTGGATAAAACATCGTTACATAATTGTTAAATTAATAATATTAATAACATAGTTATTAAATTAATTTCATCTGTGTTTTTTACTTTTCTGAATGTAGCCATTAGAAAATTTAAGAATTATACATGTGGCTCATACTGTGTTTTTATGGGGCAGTGTGGCTCTGGACCCATCCAGGGCTCTAGGAGATAGTCTGATTCCTTCCCCAACCAGATGGGAAAATGGAAATACAGAAAGGGACAAAGACATATCATAGCCACTAAGTGG